TTATGTGGTGTGCGGATTGTTATTTTTAGAGTTAAAGCCAGGCCAGCGCGCCCCCGCGGGGGGGGGAGAGTGGGGGGGGGACAAGTCTATTAAATAAATAAAAATAAATAAATAAAATAATACTTTTCTACCATTGTTCCCCAAAAGTATGTTGCCTCTGAACTTGGCAATAATATACAGTCATCATTAGTAGCAGGAGCAGATAACTATGTTCACCAACAATATTTTCAAGTTGAAGAGCATCATCATGTCACGTTGTAACTAATGGTATATGCATTTAGTGAAGGAGTCAGCCATGTGTTGCTTTCAGGCAGCAGTAGGCACTGCTACGATCTAATTTAAAAAAAAAAAACAATAGTGAGCTGGCCCAAGAGATAGGCTGAGATAATATGCTTCTTGTTTTCCAGTGCAATTTTCTTGGAATTTCTAGACAATTTGTCATTTGTTAAAAATAAATGTTTCTTAATAGAACCCAGAAGCACTTCAGACATTCATGCTGTTACCAAAAACACAATAGCTGAGGTTAAAATACACAGGATCAAAAGAAGTCACAAATAGTAATTTTCCTCTTTATTGACCATGTTGACTTCACCGTCTGTATTCCTATTTTTCTCACAGTAACTTCAACAACTTAGAATTCTACACTTAAATAATAAATGCTTTTCACATAGTTCAGTATAATACTGGTTCATTTTATCACACATTCTGTATATTCATGAATTTTCTGTAGAATACTACCATTTTCATATCAACAGAACTTGAAAGCATACTGGAGAGTGTAATATTGTAATTTCACCCAAAGCTGTGTCTCTTTTAAAAACAATGTCACAAACAACTGTGATTTCTTTTTGATGCAGGAAAGACACTTGGGAGAGGTGCTTTTGGGAAAGTAGTGCAAGCAGTTGCTTTTGGAATTAAAAGATCACCCACATACAAAGTAGTTGCTGTGAAAATGCTGAAAGGTATGAGTTTGACTCAAGGAAATCTTTATCTTTATGGGGCAGAAAATTTGATTCATAGTTGAGGGTAATCAGAGTAAATGCATCCTCATTTTTGAATGTTCTAAATCTGTAACCATTGCAATTTATTACATAATATATTGCATTTTTGTGCTGTTATAGTGATAGACAGATTTTCAAAACAGCTGAGATATAGTCATTGTAGCCTTCTCTGACTCTCCCTCTTTGATGCAAAACAATATTAAGTTATAAAAGCTGAAATGTTCAACCACTGGCATCCTGGTGAAAGGTTTACAGACAAAGCTCAACTCTTAGCTAGTTCCATGGGTGTCCTAGACATCATTCATTTCTCCAGATCTAGAATAGTATTGACATCAACACATTCCATATACATAAATAGAGTGAATCGAAGAGGGAGAAAGACAAGGCTCCCAAGATTAAAAAAAAAATGTTCAGGGTTTAGGGAGACAGCATGTAGAACAATAAGATTTAAAGGATCCAGCAACAATGAAGTAAATTGCTCCAACTTGGAGAGAACAGCCAGGAGCATAACAATCCCAAGTATAAGCTTCTGGAACAGGTGACATAATTGCAGCCTGAATTTCCAATCCCAGCGGTAAAGTGATCTGAAGTTCAGCAAGAAACATTGGCCAGTGGCAAAACCATCTGGCAATCTGGACTAGAGAAACCTAGTCATGGAGCTGGCACTCAATCTCTTCCTTTACATCATAAGACAAATAATTTCTCTTATCCTTGTAGAAGGAGCCACAGAAAGTGAATATAAAGCTCTCATGACTGAGCTGAAGATTTTGATACATATAGGCCATCATCTTAATGTAGTGAATCTGCTGGGAGCTTGCACAAAAGGCAGAGGTAAAAACCTGAAGTTCTTATTTGATATTTTTATTTTGTGGGGCTAAATGTAATCAGTTTTGCTTTTAAGTTATGATAGGGTGCAGGACAATAAATGCTAAGATCACATGAATTTTGCTTTTATTATTTCACCTTTAAGAGGGCTTTTACCTTAAGTCTGTACTGGTACCATTGGCGTAAATGCATTTTCTGTAATATGGGCCTTAATTAAATCTAAAACGGATTTGTTTTTCCCAAAGATTGGTAAAAAGATTGAACAATGGCAAAATTGGAGACTTATTGACAACAAAATGGATCTTTTTTTGAGTAAATTATGTTTTAAATAGTTCTATTATACAGATCTAATGAAAAGGACACAGAATTTCTTCCTCCCTTTTCCCTCGCTATTCATCTTGTTATTCACGTTGTTCACAGGACCATTAATGGTGATTGTTGAATATTGCAAATATGGAAATCTGTCTGGTTATTTGAAGAGCAAAAGGGATTTATTTTCTGCCCACAAGGTAAAGCCTTAATTACCTCATTATACTTTTCCAGCTCATTGCAAACCTAATGAATGCATTTTATCTCACTGTACCAAAACAAAGTGATGTCAAAAGAATTACGAAATAAGACACTGGTGGCTTTAGAGGTTTTCCCTATAGCTTTACCTCGATTTCTGATACATCAAGTTGTAGTGTAAAAGTTCCACATCAAAATGATCACATAAATATATTCCTATAGATATGGATGAAATAAATAAAAAGATAATGATCTCTGAAAAAGTTTTATACTAGGGGTCAAAGTGGTGTGTGGGTGTGTAAGCATTCCTGAAAGTTGGAATCTGATTAGTGACACAGGTTTTATTACTATAACTTAAAGGAGATTTATTTACAGGAAACACATTATAGAGCAAAAAAAGCCTAGCACCTAACTAACTGCATCATACTAAGACAGGGTCCCTCAACCTCAGCAACTTTAAGATGGGTGGACTTCAACTCCCAGAATTCCCCATGCTGGCT